GGTGGGGGTGGGTGGACTTTGAGGGAGCCTGTTGTGAGGTGGCAGGCACGGGCACCACCTCTGGGGGGCTCGTGTGGGGACCCTGGGCTGGGAAGAGGAGCAGGGAAAGTGACTGCATGGTGTCCAGTCCAGTGACCTTCCCCTCCTGCAGGAGCGGATCATGGTCATGGGGGGGGGGGGTCCAGCAGGCTGTGGGGGCAGTGGTCTCCTGTTGGAGACCCAGGAAGCGAGTGAGGGCAGCAGGTGGACAAGGGGCCTGGTCCCCACAGGGTCCTCTCTGCTGGCTTCTGATGTGCCCCCTGCCTGAGGCTTGCTCCCACCCGGCCCTCAGCTTGCCCACCTGCAGAAAGACCCTCTGCCCCCCCCCCCCCTCCAGGGTGCACCTGTCTCAGACACACCCAAGACTTAGCGTGGGACTCCCTGTGGGCCCTGAGGGCTGGGCCTGGGGGACAGCCTGGCCTGACACACAGCAGGCCCTCAGGGGCATGTGATGACGGGAGTTGGGTCTTCTGGAGGGAGGCCTGGCGGGAGGCTGGAGAGGATGGAGGAGGACAGGGGGTGGCCAGCTCTGTGTGTCTGAAATCCCCGTCCAGCCTCAGGTGGCCAGGTCCTGCTAAGCCCTGGAGGCTGCTCTGGGACACTTTGGAGGGGACGAGGTCTCTCCCGGGACATCAGGACCCCCAGGTGTGCTGGATACTCCCAGGACAAGTGCAGGGACCCCGGGGCACGCTGGGTGGTGCCCTGAAACCAGAGCTGAGTGCAGACCCTGGTTACAGTGTCATCTCCACCAGGCATGGAGCCTCTCAGGCCTCAGTTTCCCCACCTGAGAAATGGGGTCAGTTGGCAGGCAAAGTCGAGATTCAGTGGAGAAGAGGAAGCCCTTGAGCCAGAAGGATGGGCACGGTGAGGCTGGTGGAGGGCTGGTGGGGTCCCGTGAGCTGGCCCAATGCCCCCAACGACGGCGACGGCAGCACCTCAGTGGCACGCACGGCGGCACGCTGGGCTCTGGGCGGCAAGACTGCAGGCCTGGACGCCTGTGGACGGTTCTGTTTGGGCCATGGGACTGGTTTTCTTAACCACAGGAGTGCATCCCGGGACCCCAGGTGATCAAACCTGTTTCTGAAACAGGTTCTGTCCGGGGCGGGGGCCCCCAGCATGTGGCTGTGGTGTAGACCGGCCTCCGGGCTCTGGTGCCGCAGGCTGCGTGGTGGACACAGCCTCCAGAACCCTGCTCTCCCTCTTGTCTCCTCCGAGACCAGCCTCCTGTGTCCGTGAGGGAGGAGGCCAGGGACAATGAGGAGCAGGGTCCCGGAGAGCAGCAGCCAGCCCACTGTCACTGCGCCAGCCAGCTTGTGTAGAGCAGCCCAGCCAGGGCACGGAACTGAGCTCAGGCCGGCTGGCATCAGGCACAGGCTGGGACCCAGCAGGTAGGAGCGGGTTCAGCACGACCTCCTCATGGGCTCCCAGGTGAGGCGTGACATGAACCTGCTCTGGGTTCAAGAAGGGGCTGGTGACGGGCTGGGACCTGATCGTTCCGATGTCACAAATTCTGACCACTGACAGCCCAGGCTCTGGCCACTAAGACATCATGGACTCTGGCCACTCTGACGGCACAGACCCTGACTGCTGTGGTGTCATGAGGTGTTCCCGATGGGCCTCGCAGCTGACCGCTCTAACGTCACAGGTTCAGAATGCTCTGATGTCATGGGCCGGGTCCCATGGCCCACAGCTGACCACTCTGACATCAGGGTCGTTGACTGCTGTGATGTCACAGGCTCTGACCACTCTGTGGCCATGGGCCCGCGGCTGACCGCTGTGCCGTGACCTTCTGGAGAGTCACAGTCATTGCATCCGCCGCTGCGGAGTCACCGGGCACGGGCATCAAGCTGCCCGGCCACCCGCCAAGAGGATCTGCCAACTGTTTCCCTTTTACACGTTCCACACGGCTTCCAGGAGCCGGCGCGGAGCCATATGTCTGCCAGGAATAGAAAGCCTTCCAAACACCCCGCTTAAAATAGGCGCCGGGATCTGGAGGCGCAGTCTGCCAGCCTCGACCCACGCCTGGTGCTGCCAACCAGGATCTGCTCCACGTCAGCACTTCCCCTGCGCCTCCGCAGACGCCGGCCCAGGCCCTGGCCAGAACCGCTGCCAACCGGCGTCCTGGGCCCAGCCCTGCAGGTGGGGGAGGCCGCGCTGGGGAGGGGCTCTCCCCCAGAACTGGCTGCCAACCTGTCTGCCTGCTCTGTGCTGCTAGTTCAGGATAAGTGGGTCTGGGTGCGTTTGGGAAGACCCCCTGGGTGCCGCAGCGCTTGGTGCACGTAAAGGTCGGAGGTTTGAGTCCACGCACGGGCATTTAGGAAGACGGGCCTGGCGATGATGAAAGCCTCATGGACAGTCCTACTGACCGTGGCTCCACAACAGACAGGTGGTCCCGATGACCTGCGCAGGTCACCTTCAACCTGGCGGCTCCCTGCCTCTGCAGGGCCTGCAGCCGCAGGAGCCGAGTGTCTGTGTGCACGCAGCAGCAGGAGCCCGGAGTGTCTGTGTGCACGCAGCGGCAGGAGCCCGGAG